TTCCCAAGTCTAAATATGAAAGGAGACAGGGAGACAGCAACTCGTGTCGTATCTGTGAAAACCCCTCCACCATGCAGAATGGTTTCACACATGGTAATCCTGCAGAGGAGGCAGAAGACTTCAAAACTGTCTAAACTGGACTCTTCCCAGATATACCGCTTCTAGCTGTATCATTTTAAGTAAATTGCCACCCATTCTCCCTCTCGTCATTTTTAATTTCTATTACGCTTATTTATTCATTTATCTGGGAGGAGCGTGCGTGCCACGGTATGCATGTAGAGGTCAGAGGACAACTTCCCAAGAGTCTGCTGTCTCTTTCCACCATGTGAGTCCTACAGATCAAATGCAGGTCCTTGTGCCTGATGGCAAGCACCTTCACCCACTGAGCCATCTGGTAGGCCCTCTTCATTTGAATACACACACACATACACACATATGTATATGTATAAATATACATATAGATATTATACCTATCTTACACAGTTGTTTTAGAAAATAATCTAAAATGATGGATATAGAATACTTTTCATGGAGTAAATAATAAATGGTAGCTGTCTTCAGTAATCTTGGCTTTAATAACAGTCCTGTGAGGGACATAATATATAATGTTGATGCTAATGTATTACATATATTGATATATACAATGGTATATTACCCTTGTTCCAGACATTTCAGCACTGTTCCAGCCTGCAGCCAGCACAGCCTCTGGTAGTGTGTGTAAGTCACATGATCCTGAAGGGACCTCTCACCTAAGAGCGGTATCAGGAACCCAGCAATCACATGGTTTGACCCTCTGAGCGAAGTCATCAGATGCTCTCCAGCTCACCTCTCTCTGTGTACTGGATGTGGGGGACCTTCAAGGTGGGAGCTTGAGCCTAAAGGCTGGAAGGACAGGGACCCCCGAGAAGACTGGTGATCGGGAGTTAAACATAAACAGTTCTGAAATGGAAAGATGAAAATGGCCAACACAGAAGAGCAGACCCTCAGGAAAGAACCAAGGAGGATTTTAGCTAAAACACTTGGTCTGTTTTCTAGAGGCTGTGTGTATGTGTGAGCTGGAGGCTGGCGTAACTTAATCGCCGTTCTCTCCCTTGCCACTTAGGACCTTGTGGTGAGGTAGATCTGGAGAGAGAGTAACTTGTCTGAGTTTCTAGATCAAGGGGGACCTTCAGAAAGACCACTGCCAAGTCCACCCGAGCCGCGAGCTAGCAGTCAGCTCACCTGCCAGCTCCATGCCAAGCCCCTGCCAGCCTGCAATGGAGTCTGAACACCCAGTCATGTGACAGCATCCTCAGCAGGGACCCTGAGTGGGCACTGCCTAACTATGCCATGGGGCCATGAGAAAATGTCATGACTAGGGCGGCTTGTTAGGTAACCATAGGTAATTGTGGGAGCATGGCAATTATGAAGGACAGATTTTATTTTGACGCTTGTACAGGCATCATGCAAAAGGAATGTGTTTGCTGTAATAGATACCAAATATGACTCAAGCATATCACGCTAGTAGGTTTCACAGACTACAAACGTGAAATGAGAGAATTAAACCACCTGATCTTTGAGTTACCTCTGAGGTCTAAGAAATTCTCATTCCTAATAAGCCATACACCAAAAGAATGACCTTAGGATATATTTTCCTTCCCTAGAAGTGTGTGTGTGTGTGTGTGTGTGTGTGTGTGTGTGTGTAAAACTTTTGTAGGCTGCTTCCCAAAATGTAGTAGGTTCAAAAACTACTGTTTGAATTGAGAGGTCACTTTCATGGATAGTTTAATTCATTTTCCTCACTCAGTGCTTTGACCTGAGATCATTCCCTATGCAAATGAGGGAAGGCATAGAAATCACAGACAAATGGTCCAAAGTGGATTTTCAATGTGAAGTTGTTTCGTTTTGTTTTAACCTCTAAAGCTCTGTGTAAAATTCCTTCACTCTTCTCAGTACACATTTGCCCCAATCCCCAGGGTTTTCCACACAAGGTCACACTGAACAGGACTGCGGCTCCTGTTTTTCCTCCCAGCGCTGCCACACCGGCAGAAGCCGCAGGTCACTGTTTCCTGTCACTCATCTCTCATGTACCCTCCTCCACCTGAAGACAGCCTCACCTGCGTCCAACACGTTCACGCCCCTTTCCCTCCACTCCCCAAATACATGAAAAGACCAAACGTGTTACCATGTAGACTCTGTCGACGCTGTGACACCATTTTTGGAGCAGTGATGCTCTGGGTTGATTTTCTCCACCTTTTCCAGTGGCTCCATGATGGTTTACAGGACTGAAGAACCAGGGGGAAAAAACTGAACCAGAGATGGACTCTGATGTCAAACCCATCTGGCTAACATCCCTCGGCACAGATGATTAAGCCACCATGTGTCAAAGTGGTAGGGAGGCCACAGAGGCTAAAGAAATCTCATTAAAGGTCTCCTTTGTCTATAAATGCTTCCTCTTCCTGCTCTGCTGTCTCCCCCAGGCTTCCTCCAGAAAACTCCTTCCTTGTATTGAGGGCTAGACTCTGCCCAGTGAAGAGGTAATAGGAAATGTGTCCTTGGAATAAACTTCTTTCATTTGTTGTAACTTAAAAAACAGCTCTGGGGCTGGGTGGTGGTGGTGGTGGTGGTGG